GAGTACATTTTTTTCCAAAGCAAATACACTTTCCATTATTTTTCTAGGGTTTTTCTGACAGTCGGGCTTCCTCTGATTGCTTAAAAAAGTACAAGCAAAGTATGTCACAGACCAGGGGCTTATTGTGAAATATATTACATTTTTGCTGTATTTCCTTTAATGTCACTGTAAATATGTTCCTGTCCAAACCAATACTATCAGCAGATACTGACAAATATTTTAGTTTATTGAGGAGGCTCTGTTTAGTTTATTGAGGCTCTGTCCTCTCAACTAATTACAAAATATTCTGCAAATATTTGAATTTATTACTTATCTCATTCCCACAAATTAGTGCATCTCTTTGTTTAACAAATGGAGTTCACTGTTCCTGCCCTCAAGGTAAAGCATACATTGCAATCTCTCCTTTGCAGACAATCTGAAAACCAACCTTTCCTAAGTGAATCAACAGTTGAAAATGATCTCTGTAAATCAGTAAAGGGAGAGAATTTGCCATGTTGCATCTAATACCCCTACAGAAGGCACAAACAACTCAAAGCTCAATAACGTTGTTTGACTGATCCCAACTCATGGTTTGGGGGTTTGTAGTATTTACTAGATTTTTAGCACGTTGAAGTAGAACATCCAACGCTCTGGGACTCAGAAAAACCTCGGTTGTGACAATGCAATAATACATGGGATCTTCTGCATTATCTTGATTTAGTTCCTTTGTAACACAATTCTGTTGTTTTTAGGGATATGCTCTCTCTTAATTCCTTAACACTTGAATGAAGTTTAAATAAAACCTGAAATGTATGAAAGTAAGTAAGCATTAAAAAGAAAGACTTACAGGGTTTTTTAAAAGTAAGATAATAGCTCATTCAAACCATCAAACATCTGGCTTATGGACTCGAGATACTTTTAGAAGTACTGTACTGTAAAGATGACGTGCCTTTATTTTTGCCCTTATTAATTGTTAAATACTTTTCAAAATTTTTTTGTAATAATATTTTAAATCAAAATAAGAACTATGTATTAAAACAACGATGCATTAGCTACAAAAAAACCCCTTGGTTATTCTTTGCAGCAATCAAAGGGGCTTTTACATAGCTATATGCTGTAGAAAAAGTACTGGAAAAAATGACCACCAGAACATGTGTTGCAAACCAAATGACTTTTTGCAACCATGCATCAGTGTAGTTTCCCTGCTTAAATGTAAAGAAATAGAATATTCCATCATTATTTAAGAATGCCTTCTAAAGTGAGTGAACTTTCTGTATTCACAGCGCGCATACAGCAAAATATCCCATGAATTCCTTCCAAACTGGAAAGCCGTAGCTGACATGAGATACATACATTTCATACTTTTCCCCAGAAACAGAACCGTCTACAGCCTGTATTTGAACTGAAGCATGGCGAGTAGTATCTGTGCTGGTCTTGGAAGCGAAAAGGCCTCTCCCACGCAGAGCAAGTGAGAGCAGATTTTTGCTGACTCACGAATCCTCCAGGCGTTTCACTTCAGGAAGGGTGAGGAAGAAGCCTGTTGCATGGAGTGGACTATTGGATTGGCAAAAATGTTGCCATTTCCCTTTTGCCTATGTTTTGAATACCGAAAGAGAAAGAGAAAGATGAATTACAAACACTTTTTTTTCATTTTCACTTTTTTGCTTCTGTTTGTAAAGCAGTTGGCTTTATAGCACACTAGCAGCGTAACGTCAGCACTAGATAGCTTTTTAGTCATCTCTGTCCTCCTAATTATCACTCACTCATTGGTTGACCTAGTGAAAGGGATCCTGCCCACTAATGCGTATAGCTTACTAGTAGTACAAGCAGGGTGATGCATATCAATTATGGATAGCAAAGCAAAGGAGCCAATTTTTTTCAATATTTACTTTTTGGAGGTTTTCAACATTTTTTTTTAATTTATTTTTACGTAAGGAAATAAATTTCTGGAGCATTGGGAAAAAAAAAGGCAAGTTCAAGTCAAGTCCACCGAACACTTTCAGTTAAAACAATAACAGCCCCCCCATTAGAAATGTTAAAATGGATCGCTGTAGCATTTCTGAAATGGTATAGGCTGATTTTTCAAGTGAAATTCTTAAGGCATGTAAGTATGAGTTTTAAGTTTAAAAACCAGTTGTTTTTCCAAGGCAGCCATAAGAAAGCTCTGATATTCAGAAACTAATTTACAAACACAAGCATATTTCTTCTGATTTCTATTTCTGAGAGATTTACTACTAATAATGGGAAGGTGTTGGATAGTCTCCCAGTGGCTGTTTGACAAAAATACTGAGCAAAATTGAGTTGAAGCAGTTAAACAAATAATGATTCACCTTTACTATCTATTCAAAAATAAATTGCAAGGAAAAAGTAAACTGACTTTAAGAACTTTTCCTTCTGCCTGTGCTACATGAATCGTTCCTCATTTATTACCAAATCAGCAAACAGACTTACTGGAAAGAAAAAACTGGCCAGAAAATCAACACAGTCAAATTGTGCTGGACACATATCAAGGTACAACTAGGTCCCTAGTGCATTTGTTTGGTAAATGGGTCAGCTCTTTTGCAGCCAGGACCAGCCAAGACAAAATGATATGAAAGGGAGGAAAAGGACACGGCCATTCAAAAAAAACCTACATAGCCATTCCACTGAGAACACATGTTGTTGTCAACTTAATGAAAAGCAGGAACAAGCTATTTCTGAGTGATACAAGGTGAAAACACACAAGAAAAGAGAAGGAAGCACAGATATGAAAGGATTGATTATTCAAGGCTAAATCGTGACCATGTAATTGGTAAAGCAAACAAAAAAATTGTCAGTTTTAAATATTTACATCTTCTGCTAAGAAGTACAAGAGGCTGCAACCAGAAATACAACTAGGCAACACTTGCAAATGCAGTGTACGCGTATTTGGTAACCATTAAAGCAATGTTTAGTATCAGTTCATTCATAAATGTCAATCTATACAGCGATAATTTTGTGTTATTGCTGTTAACTCTGAAAGAGTCTCAAACCTGTGTGTGCTACTATTAGTGATAAAAGGGAAGGCTACATTCTTTACCCTGTTCAAGGATGAGGGATACCTGAATTGTGTTATGTCGTTCACCTACCAGGCCACAAACATTATGTGCCCATCCGCCATCTTGAGTGTACCTCTGTGGTGGAAGATGGGCCACTTATTTTACGAAGTTCATACCAGCAACCTCCTCACACTATATAATCGTATCTAAGGGAATCCTGGTGTTGCATAGCCACTGAGATTGTACCTCCAGGATCCTCTGGACCCCATGTCATGACCTGCAGCCAATGAAGCAGCAAAGCAAACTCGAGGAACGCATGAGCAGCTGTGGCAAGGAGATTCACTGGTAGTTTCCTGAGGCCATGTTAACAGCACTAATGAAGCAACAACAGAAAACACAAGAGCAGGTAGACTTTTACCCAATTTTATTTACTTTATTTTCACTCTTTCAGAAACAGAACTAACCATGTAAAAGGTGGAGCCATGTCCTATTTGTAGCAGTAAGGACAACAGAAGCATGTTCAGCACATGATTCCTGAAGGTTAATTAATGCTGGATTGGGAAGGGTAAACATCTAGCATCAGTCATCTGATGGAAAGGACTTTTGGTAGCCTGGCAGCTAACTCACTGATCATCAGTACCATCACTGGAAAGCTGATTCTCCCATGAGCAGTGCTTCAGCTTCACCTAAGAGTCCCATAAATTTGATTTTTAGCATCATAAATGCTCAGATTTCCTTCTGGCAATATGTGTCTGGATCCTCAAACATGATGGGAGCCTTCTGGTTGACCAGATGTGACCAGGTGTAACCAGATGAAAAGGGGATATACAGGTCAGGAACTCACCATGTTTCAGGGCAAAATCATATCTGATTTTGTAATAATACAACACCTAGATTCTCTAGAGCGCTTCTGTCCATGGATTTTAAATACCTATTAAGCAAAGTTGAAATGTGCTGTACAGTGGTGAAGCCATTTGCCTGAAATCACAAAGCTGACCCCAGTAACAACAGATCCAGCAGTCAGCCCCAGTCCCACCATTCTTGTAATCATTTGGTCAAACACGTATTGAAGTCAAAAGCCTCATTCAGCGTTGTGCCATCACATGGGATATTGTACAGCCACAAAAGCAGGCTTTCTCTGGAGAAGCCACAGCCTCAAGATCAGGTGCAGGGCATGAGTAGAAAAGCATTCATGCTATTAATGTAGATAGTAAGCAGAAGCACATACATAAAATAATTGGGCTGGGATAAAACCCGTAGCAGAAGAGGGAGCCTGTCACTGGTCTTGTAGGTGTGTTGAATAGGGCAGGTACTGACATTAGTTCCCCAGCAAGGAAGCTTTGATCAAAGTCGTTCAGATGGACTCCTTGTGTTGAAGGATACGGAAGATTCGTGCTTTCATTGCCTGTGAGAAATACCACAGGCTTCTTCTCCAGACATGCCACTGCCCAACGTGACTTCATACCTTTCCCTGCCTCAGTTTTGTCGTGTGCAGAAGAGGGAGAATGAGGTCAATTGTCTTTGCTAAGCACACTGAGATCTGTGGCGGGAAAGCGCTACATAACCACAAAATAGTATTTATTGTTAGGCTATTGGTAGTTGTTACACATAATTCAGATAGCTACTGTGGCTTTTCCTTGTGCTGTTTAAGTGAAATTTCTGCTAGCCCCCATCCTGAAACCATGTGTGAGTTTCCTTGGCGCTGCTGTTACTAGGAGTAGCATCTCCATGCCTTGCCCCACCTGAGACCTCCCCTAAGACCTCCTGTCTGGAGCAGAGATCAAGCGGGTAAGTGGGAAGCAGGTTCTGAAAATGGGAGGAGTAAGCAAATTGTGCAAATTCTGGGAATCCACCTCAACCCCCTACTCCACCTCTTCCCGCCACCTCCTGGTGCCCGCCCCCAGCTTCAGCCTGCTCCCTTAAACTGCTGCCGCCCTGTGCTGGGTTGAACATTTTCAGCTGCTGATTCGCACACGGCAGTCGGCAGCGCCTGGTGGGACAGACATGATGGTGCTGAGGTTACGCAGCTGGGCTCCCCTGGGGCCTCTTCTCTCCCTGCTCTTTTCTACCAGCATGGCGGTAAGTGAAGAGGCAGTGTTAGAAAATATGTCGGCGCGGAAAGCGCTCTTGGGGAAAATTCACTGAAAACGGTCTTCTTTCTTCTCTTCAGTACATTCCTACCGAAGAAAACTGCTGCATATTAGATGAACGATTTGTAAGTACCTGAACAATTTTCTTTTATCTTAAGAGTCTAATTAAAGCTTTCCTACGCTGATTATTAACTACAGTTATCACTTGTACCTTTATTTGATCTTCACTGTTGTTTTCGATACTTATTAAACGCGCTGTGCTTAAGCCTGTTATCTACTAATAGAGGCATATGCTTGGTAAAAATGTAGGGGAGGAGGCTTCGCTGTTGACAAAAGCATATATCCAGAAGACAATATGAATAACAGCATGCACCCTTTTCTTGCTCTGTGTGTGTGTATTTACTTACAGTGTGAAACTAAGCTGCCTCTGCAAATTCAAATACTGCACACACAGATGCCTGCCCTTTTTTATCCGCAATCATTTGTATAAGCGGTGCCTGAAAGTTCCCCTGCCCAAATATTCCACTCTCCTTTTTTTGCTCCTGAAACATTGCCAATTATTGTTATTTCCTCTTTAGGGTAGCTACTGCCCCACAACCTGTGGCATTGCAGATTTCTTTAATAAATACCATCTCACTATGGATAAAGAACTGGAGCAAATGGAGAGAATTCTGCGGCTAATTGCTAACTCCACAGGATCAGCAGAACAGCTGATTCACCACATCCAAAGCCTCTATCCTTCAGAGAAGCAGACACTACCAGGTGAGAATATAAAAATAACTACACAACTGAAAAAATATCATTTAGGTAGTTTTCTAGTTTTCTAATTTGCCTAATTGCAATGATGTTATACCTTTGTCTGTTTTACAGGTTCAGTTGATGATTTTACTCAGAAGTCCAGGAAACTAATTGAAGAAATTATCAGATATGAAACCACTATTTTGTCTCATGAAAGTACTATACAGTAGGTATCTTCCACCTTTCATGTCGATTGACAATCCAAATAGTTTTCTTTCTGTTCTTTCATCAAGTGCAGCTAAGGCTCCCTCACAAGATTTTTTGTGCCCACACTGTCATTAGTAGCCACCTAGCAAAACACAGAAGGATCATGAGGATCTGATATTGCATTCTCTTCTCATCTGCATAAGCCATTAATTATGCAAGAAGTGCAAGATAAGAATGTCAGGAAGCAGGGCGATATTTTTATTTATGCTTCTTCTGCTGTGCCAGCTACTCCTAAAATTTTTTTCATGACCTTTGGAGATTTTATTTATGTGAGTTTGTGCTGTAATGCAGAGAGCGTGGAATATTTGTAGTGTAATTCACTCTGGCTAATTTTGCGTATCCATGAAAATCAGCTCAGTTACATTGATATAAATCATAAGTAACTATACACTCAGTGGTAGTCTTTCATAAATTGACATTGAAAATAAAATTGAAAGCATCATTAACTTTTCTAAATCTTAAGGATATGGTTTTTTGACCTGAATGTAGAAAAGTCTCCCCTTCTATAACATTCTACCAAAGATGATTTAGGCATTCTGACAGTTGATTTAGGCATTCTGACAGTTGCAGCAGTTTTATTTACAGCATTTGTATTTTACAAATGCATGCATAATTAAAGAGGAACAATTTATCATTTACTTCAGGAAAGCAAAGAAAAACTTTCCATAGAGTTATAGTCATACATTAATTACTGGTTTGAGTTTTGCTGATTAGAGTCAGGTCAAGCTTTGCATGCTTTTGCATGCAGTTTAAGTGCGTGCTTTCCCATTTTGGCTAGTTTCCTCAACTTTAAATATCAGTGCTAATAGAGGCACCCCCTTTTACACGTGTGTATGTAGCAGCATGCTACATAGGTGAGGCATGTGTGCAGGGAAACATGTATTACATTTTCAGAAGCATGTGAAACAACAAGCCATTTTTATGTCTCTCTGTCCAGACAGTTGACAGAAAAACATATATCGAACAGCAACAAGATCACACAGCTGAAACAGAAGATTGCCCAGCTTGACTCACTCTGTCAGGAGCCATGCAGAGACACGGCTGAAATACATGACACAACTGGAAGAGGTGCACAAAATGCTTCTTGTATGGCAGAGGGTTAAATCAGTAACAAGTATTGCCAGTTGGCATCACAGCGATGAGTTATTTGTAATCTTGCAGGCCATAGATTTCTGCAAAGGCATAGAAGATTGCCAGTTATGAAACCCGTCAAACCTGGATCAATATAAGTGCTAGGCAGATGCTCTGCAAACAGGGCACTCAGATGGAACAGAGGCCTTGCTTGCTTCTTCAGCCTTTTTGGCCAAAATATGATAATCCCAAAATGTATGCTAAACATGAGGGACAGGAGGAGAGTTTCTATGGACATAAGACAAACAGAAGGTAGCTTATTATCACATTTCTACTGAGCCACCTGAAAAAAATTAGTAATTCCATTAGCTCAAAAAATGCCAGCTCAAAAAATGCCAGCTTTGTTGCTGTAGAAATGAATGCAATGCCTGTATTTTGCATTCAAGTTGCTTAAGCTGTATGTGAGACTAAATTCCTCCTCATCTTACACAAGTTTGGTGACCTTTAGTAGGATTTTATGGCAATGACATTGAAGTATGTGGATTAAATAGCTAACTTTGCAACAATGACACTAAGATGAATTGTATTTCTTGCACTAAGGAAGTTCCAATATCAAGTAAAAGTAAGGATAGAACTGTAGCTATGTTAATAATGATCCTCTGAATATCTTTCCTTCAGATTGTCAAGACGTTGCAAACAGAGGTGCCAGAAAAAGTGGTCTTTACTTTATCAAGCCTCAAAAGGCCAAGCAGTCATTCCTAGTCTACTGTGAGATTGACTCATATGGCAACGGCTGGACAGTATTACAGAGGGTATGCCACTTATATATTATTATCATAAGCAAGATTATTGCATCAGCACTTTTTAGGTACTGCCATAAGATACATAACTTTTTGACTGAGGTTTTTTGTTTTGTTTTTTCCCCCAGAGACTGGACGGGAGTGAGGACTTCAAGAAAAATTGGGTTCAGTACAAGGAAGGATTTGGACGTCTGTCTCCAGATGACACCACTGAGTTCTGGCTGGGCAATGAAAAGATTCATTTAATAACTACGCAGTCCACTCTGCCATACGTGTTGCGAATAGAACTGGAGGACTGGAATGGCGAAAAAGGGTACTTGCTCATGATGCTTCTGAAAATGACAGCTTAAAACCTACCGCTCCCACTGCAGCGTCAGTTTGTACGGCTCTCTGAAAAAATGATGAGCTCTTAGACCTGCTAACATGCATAGGACACTGCATTTGAAAAGGAATCTGTTTCTTCTCTTCAAGTTCCTTCATGTCTTACGCATCTTACGGACTAGATGATCATTGTAGGTCCCTTCCAACTGAACTGAACTGTCCTGTCCTGTCCTGTCCTATCCTATCCTATCCTATCCTATTCTATCCTATGTATTCTATTCTACGTATTCCATTCTCCAGGAGGGCTTGCAATCCTTGCTATCTCTTGAGACATCTGCTCCTTCCTCCCACCAAGAATGTCCTCATGACCTAGGTAAGCCTAAGCATTATGAACCCAGGAGATATATATATGCGTGTGTTTATATAGTGTATATCTTTCATACGTCACTGAAGACTGGTAGTCAGAAAACATGTGTGATGCTGGAGCACAAAAGTGTTTGGATGTACGTCATTGAACTGAGGCACACAGTCATGCAAAACTGATTCCTTTTCAAATGCTAGGGTGCCATAAATGCCTTTTCTGCAGTGCTAACACCTATGTATTTTTTATTGGTGAATGTACTGGGAATGCAACATGCTCATATTCATCGTTATCCTTTATTAACAGCACTGCTGACTACGCTGTATTCAAAGTGGGAAGTGAAGATGACAAGTATCGAATGACTTATGCCTACTTTCTTGGTGGCAACGCTGGAGATGCCTTTGATGGCTTTGATTTTGGAAGAAATCCAAGTGACAAATCCTTTACCTCTCATAATGGCATGCAGTTCAGTACCTATGATAACGACAATGATAGGTTCTCTGGCAACTGTGCTGATGAGTCTGGATGGTGGATGAACAGTTGTCATGCTGGCCACCTCAATGGCAAATATTATATAGGTAAAGTATCTTCTAAATACCTATAGCCCAGGACACCACATTTCAGTGGCAAAGAAAAATGAATCGTTTTCATTGAGTATGTCTTGCCATCTGGTTTTTCCAAAGCTGGAATAACTTTTCCGTTTTTATCATTACTTCAGTTTATTATTATTTCAGTTTTGCCGTAACTGAAAACACCAGCAGTAGGAACTTGTGTCTGCTCTCCAGCCCGTAGTGGGACAATTAGTCCTGAGTGAAGGAAGACTAGGGGGAGCAGGGTAGTGAGCGGGGCCTGTTAGCATGCCCAGGGATGCCATGGAGTTGTTAGTAGCAAAAAAAATGTATGGACACATTTACTACTTCAGAAAGCAACTAACTGTGTTTCTCCAACTGATACCTTTTAGGTGGTGTGTATGCATCGCAAGATGCTGGTCCAGATGGAAATGACAATGGCATTATCTGGGCAACCTGGCGTGACCAGTGGTACTCCATGAAGAAAACTGCAATGAAAGTTATCCAGTTGAACAGACTGCAAGTGGATGGACAGCAGCACGCCTTAGGCAGCGTCAAACAGGTTCAACCACAGGGCCGAGGAGATATTTAAAATGAAAACAGAACATAGTTATAATTTCAAATGCTGCTGATGGACAGCTGAAGTGTTAAGCCCACTACATCTTAGAGAAGTTGGCTTTGTTTACTATTTTGTCACAAAAATATTTGTCCTTTGATTTTAGTATACCTTCCACTCTACTGTTTCTTTTAACAGATAGATAAATGGAGAGTCTCATGATCAGAAATAATTCCTTGCCTTCGTGTGTTTTAAATGCTACATTTTTTATTTCCAACAAGTATAACTATGTATGAACACTATCAACATGTCATCATAATCTTATGTGCTTTTTACTTTAGAAGAACATTAAAAGGCTCCTCTTTTTTTTCTGTTATAGGTTGGAGACTCATAAAGGGACAATTTCACAAAGACTGATCTGAACAAGGAAAACAAAAATCTTTTAACTCTTAGACACTGAACTTACCTAACATCACACAGTTCAGTTTTGACAGTAAAACACTGTTGACTGTAACATGCCCAAGCCTTTTCCCTGACCAGTGCTTATGTACATGGTTGTTTTTTTTCTGTACAAATTCTCAATAAATTTTTGATTATTACATAAAATCTGAACTTGTTATCTATGCTCTACTATTGGCCCAGCAAAACAAAGTAAACTGTATGATGGTTGGAAGGTTACTGTGATCAAACTTGCTGAAGGCTACTTAACTGAGCTTATCATGAAGTAATGAATACATTTTCAATCGGGATGTCTTAGGAAGTATATTATCGATGACCAAGAACAGATATTTTATTCCAGAGCATACATATTAGCAAGTTTCTCAAATAATATTCACAAACAATGTTTTGTTTGCCAAATAGCAGATAGTATTACACTGTACAATTATTATTCCTGAATTCATGAATATTCATGAATTTTTATAAATTAATGTAATGTACTTACTGGCACTGTCAGACCAAAAAATGTTAACATTTGCAGCATAAATTCATTGTATTTCACTTGCATTTTCTTTTCCTAGATACGGTAATATTTTTCCATGTGATCCACGTGAACAAACTCACAGGACAGATCAAGAACAGCAAAGAGTTTTCAATGCTGTCTGAATGTACTCACTGAGAATATTTGATGAGTGCATTTGAGGGGCGCATTAGCAAATCAGATTGGGTTTGTGGATAAATTGCTCAACAAAAAATACATTCAGAGCTAGAATTGAAATTTTTTTATATGTATATATATAAAAATACATATATATAGTTGATACATTAAGAAATGAAATATTACATGTGTCTTGGTCTTTATTAGCTACTATCAAGAGGCCAGAAGGTCAGCTGGTATTTCTGAATAGCACATTCAGACTCTTTATTTTAAAGTCAGAGAGACACTACACTAGTAAGACAGATCTTGAAGGTTGTTTATGCTGCCTCAGCGCTTTCCCAGTTTTCGTGCCCAGGTGTCTGGCAAGGCTGCTGCTGCGCCCCTTTCCCTGGGTCTGAGTCTCCATAGCATAACAAGCTGCTGTCCCTCTGTCATTTTTACGGAGGTTGTTTTGACTTAGCTCAAGTTTTACCCTTAAGCCAAAGTGTAAGAGGATGGCAGGTTTCTTAGGAGTAAGTGAGAAGAAGCCATCATCAGCACAGGGTCACCAACAGCCTTGATGCCCAATTCCTGAACGTTTTTGTGCAGTGAGGCCTCTGCTGTGGTTCCTTGCAACTGAAGTGGTATGCAGAGAGAGGTCTGTGGGAAGGATGTGAGTGGAGGGTTGATAAGCCCAGTCTGATCCTGGTTCTGCAAACAGCGACTTGAGTGGCACTGGCCAAGTCCCTTCTGCTTTCTGTTTTCCATTTATCCCGCCTGTGACATGACTTTAAGGTTGTTTTTAGTTATATATTTGCAACATGGAATTAAAAACACTCCTCTCATCTCTGTCACTTTGACTTCCGTGTCCACACTCCTCTAGGTCTGAGCTGTGATTTGCCTTTCCAGTTTAGCTTTTGGCTGCAATGATTTGTTTGATGACAAACTGCTGTAACTACATGCATCTCACTGTGTGAGCTGGCATTTTATGTGTTGCTCTCCAGAACTAAGATTTACTTATTCTTCCAGTTGATTTGTTGTGTGGTGTCCTAAGGTTTCACAAATCATTTTGAACCTCTTTGGAGAGGACGATCTGCTCAAGCAGCCAGGAGGGTCAGAGCTATCGACTCCAAAAAGCCTGATCTTTCACGCAAGTCCTACACCAGAGCTCACCAGGGCCTCTGCAGGATCCCAGCCCACAGTGATATTGTCTGGGTCCTGAAAGAAGACTAGCAAGATTCAGGCCCTTTGGAGATCCTTTCTACTGTTTACAATCCTCTAACTATCAGAAAGGGGCCTGAAAAGATCTCCTATTTCTTCTCTTAGAGAGACAATAACAGTCTCAGTATTATTTTTTGCAAGTAAATCCACTGCAACTTGACTCAATGCCCATTTTTTGTATACTGAGAGGTCATATTCTCTTTCCTGTATCAGTCTTTATCATACGTGACCCTCAGACCATAGCCTATTGTGAAAGTCATCTGTATTTAGGCAAGCCTGTCCCCCTCTGAGTTTATAAGAAGTTCATTATAGGATTTGATGGCTACAATGAATTTACCTTTCTTTCACACCTTGTGCTTGAAGTCATCCTTCTGAAGACCACTGTAGCACAGAACAGAGGAACTGGGAACAGAAATACTTTGTCTTTTGCATGCTCACTCCAAAGCAAAAAAAAAAAAAAAGAATAAAAAGTGAATGGCGAAGGAATAGAGGTAGAACGAGGCAAATAAGGTGGACAGACTGGAGGACTTGCTGAATCCTTCAGTCCCTGGGATGCTGCATGGGGAAAATGTGGGACCAGATGATAGTAATGAACTCAAAAGAGTTAAGTAGTCTGAGGAGTATATGAAGAGAAAGCAGAGCTGAGAGCTGGGGCGGAAGGAGGAGGGAGCTTAAGCCAAGGTATCCAGAAGAGGGACAGGAATGAGCAGGTAAGAGGAGGCGAAGGCACCGCTCAGAAACTGGTGGTGGGGACCGGTGGTAGGACAGGAGACAGGGGCATGGCTGCGCAAACAAGAGCTGGCTCACATCTAGGGCACACAAACCAGGATTAAACCCAGACTCACCAACTATTGCTGTGGCAACCTGCCAAGAGCAGGGCAGCTGAAGTAGTAAACTGCACTTCTGTCCTTTGATCATGAATTGAAGCTAAATCCAAAGTTTATCTAGCTCTTGGCCCTTAGCCTTTCAAACAAACACAGGGAGAAGTGACTGGATGATTGCAACATGAAAGCAAAGGTACAGGCTGAAGGTCAGGCACAGATTCAGCCTTCAACTGGAAAGCCTGAGGAGCTACTCCTCCACCCCAGCTTCACATAGCAATCCTCTTTGCATGAAGCAGGAAACCCTTCTTAGCTTGCTGGAAGTTTATGATTGGTTATCAGCTTTTTCCAGTCCCTCTAGCCTTGGTGGCCGAGTTTTACTTGGACCAGAGCTTGTTTTCTGCGTTTGAAGGTCACCAAAGAGCTGTGGTCTCCATCAGGGTCAGAGGGTGCCTGGCACATGCTGCTGCTGTGTCCAGTGTTACCCTGGTAGCCGGTACCTGGGACACCACCTAGCAAATTGCTGCATCCTCTGTTAGCATGGTTGAAAAGGCAGAAATTCTTCTGCTTCATGTACTCTGACTACTCTTGATTTTTAAGACCTATTAATTTACAAAAATAATATTCAGAGATTATTGAAGAGCACAAAATCAAGCTCTTCCAAACCGGGAAAAGCCAGAAGGTGACATGTCCCATCACATCTGAATTATCATAGAATGTTTTGTGTTGGAAGGGACCCCTAGAGGTCATCTAGTGCAAGCCCCCTGCCATGGGCAGGGACACCACTAGCTAGATCAGGTTGCTCAGAGCCCTGTCCTACCTGGTCTTGAATGTTTCCAGGGACAGGGCATCTGCCACCTCTCTGGGCAACCTCCTCCAGTGCATCATCACCCTCATAGTGAAGAATTTCTTCCTTGTATCTAATCTAAAGCTCCCCTCTTTCAATTTAAAGCCATTACTCCTTATCCTACCACTACATGCCCTTGTAAAAAGTCCCTCTCCAGTTTACTTATGGCCCCCTTTAAGTACTGAAAAGCTGCAGTAAGGTCGCCCCACAGCCTTCTCTTCTTCAGGCTGAACAAGCCCAACTCTCTCAGCCTGTCCTCATAAGAGAGGTGCTCCAGCCCTCGGATCATTTTGTAGCCCTTGTCTGGACCCACTCCAACACTTCCATGTCCTTCTTGTGCTGAGGGCTCCAGAGCTGGACGCAGTACTCCAGGTGAGGTCTCACCAGAGCAGAGTAGAGGGGCAGAATCACCTCCCTCGACTTGCTGGATGGAATTATGAAGGATGCTTTAGTTGTTGCATAGGTTGTAATGCATGTAGTGAGTAGGACCAGGTGGGGCACCGCTGTCTCTCACTTGCAGATGATACCCTGCAGAATTGGGTGCTACTCCTGTGCTCATCACCTGGTTCCTGTGGGAGCAGAGGCAAGACACTCAGGTGTCTCAGAGCTGGCTGCTGGATATTCCTCCTGAGCCCCAGTGCAGGCACAGAGCTACAGCTGCTGTCAACAGGACCTGTGTGAGCTGAAGACTCAGACCAATGAAATGGATCCCAAAAATGAATAACTTCTTTTTGACTTAACTTTCTCACCTGGCTTCTGCAGCTGCAGAAAGGGGAAAGTTGGGCCCAGGGAATGAATGTTTGTAAAGTACTGGGGTAGCTGAGTGATGAGCACCATAGGAAAAATCCTTGAAGCTTTAGTCTGCAGAGCATCATCATGCGATGAAAAAGAGTGTACAGCTCTGGGCAGCTGCTGGCCTGCGAAGCACCATCCATGCTCAATGTGAGGAGGAAGGGGTTCAGTGGAAGAAATATTGCACATGATCCTGTGGTAAAACAAGGGTCCCTGAGGGTACACACAAGGAGAGCACATGAAGGTTGCACCTGCAATTCTTGTGTTCCTGAGCATGGAG